ATTGAAGGATTTAATTTAAGTTTAACTTTATACTATAAAATTTGATTATTATAATATGTGTGTGATTATAGGTATTGGTCTTTATTGTCTATTTCCTTATTGATATTCAATAATAAATGGAAACTTAAAATTATTATTAAAAGAAAAATAAATGTCTTCTAATTTGTATTATGTTTTTTTTTCCAAACAGTTCTAATATCTTTTAGAAAAAACATCAGTTCCTTCTTATGTTAATTTACGTTTATTGTATATTATAGTCCTAAAAATATACATATTATCATGTATTTTCAAACTTCAAATTAACGAGAAAAATCAATTCCTGATAATACCTATAATATACAATAAACGTAAATTAACATAAGAAGGAACTGATATTTTTTCTAAAAGATATTAGAGCGGTTTAGAAAAAACTATCGGGAATTGATTTTTCTCGTTAATTTGAAGTTTGAACATACATGATAATATGTATATTTTTAGGACTACAACACAATATGTAATTTTGTTCAACACAAAGTTAGTGAAGAATAAACCAATAAATAAGTATTTCACGAGAACAAAAACAATAACAAATTAATTTTTTTAAACACATTTATAACTATCAGATAAAATTGTAATGTTAAAACTATCAAATAATTTGTAGTAAATACAGTTATTGAATTAATATAATTAAGTTGAGTGATAATTTTTTTAATTTTCTAAATATAAAATTAGGTATTGAAATATCTATTATTCGTTCTAATTCATGACACAACTACAGTTAAGTTTCAATGCAACGGTCACCGAAGGGACTAGAAATAATGACCGCTACATAGAGTGCATAAAAAAATCAAATACACGATAATATGCACATTGCACATACTAAAAAATTTATTTATGACATATGAAACACTGAATATTTACTTGTATATATGTTACTGATATTCTATTTAGTGAGAACTTAATAGAAAAATCGTACTGCATCAGCATAAAAATATTTCTGGGCTCAAAAAAATAAATTTATAGTAGATTCTGTGTGGATCGATGAATGTATTGATTTTACAATGAAGAGTGTTTTTTATTTTTATATTTTCATGTATCTCATCACGGTTTGGGGCAGTAAAAGTGCTTCAATTATCTTCAACAGCAACTTTTCTGGTAGAAAAATGAATCTAGTTGGTGCATTCGGGAGGTCGAAAATTCCCAATAGTTTTCAAAAGCGACAAGAAAAAACAATCAAAAAATTAAGAAAAAACAGGAATTGTTATGCAAAACCGGTTCTCGAAAAAATAGATATTGGTTCTTAGTGTTACTATAAAGAAATTACCGTAGATACATAAAATTTTCACCGAATGTTTGTTTTAGCCTTTTATATACATCACACAACTTTCTAAATATTTTGAATCATGTTGAACTATTTATAGGCATACGAAATTTTCGATTATTATTCGTTTTTATTCAATCAATGTCTATTAAAAAATATAAGCTCTGTCTAAAAACTTGAAAATATATTATAAAGTTCCCCATAAGTTACTGTAAGTGGAAATTAAAAAAAAAGTTGATCTTATATCCACAATATATTTTTATGAGAATTTTGAATTTTGACAAAACTTTTAAAAATCACGAAAATTAGCAAATTACTTTGAGCTAGAAATGCATAAAAATTTTTCTTTTCATATCTAAGATTTAAAAATGTAATACAAGATTCTTTATAAGTTCATGTTTATCTACCTTTATCAAAAAGAAATATCCAGCGGAAAGTCAAATTAAATTATTATTAGCCTTTGAAGTTGAAATTTTTACAACATTGGATATTCACTCGATTTCTCATATGGTGATTTTCTTATATTGTTGTAATTCAAACACTAATAACTGTAATTATCACTTGAAATTTATACCATACATTAATTTCACCACTTCATAAACTTGATAAAATTATCATCGGACATTTTCAATTTTCATTTTTTTTTTTCTATAAATGACAATAAAATTGTATAAGTTGAGCCAAAAAGCATGAAAATTGAATACAAGCCTCTTGGTATATTGTTACAATAGCATATGAAAAATATTAAAAATACATGAGCAAGATTTTTTTAATAAGCATTTAAAGTTCAAATTTTGACATTTATCATATTGAAAAATGATTTTGTAGTTTAAAATGTATAAAATTTTCAATTTTTATAGCTAAAGAACGAAAATTTAAAACAACGTTCCACTTGAGCAGTTTTTTTCAGTAATTAAAAAATCTAAAAACATTTAAATACAGTTATTTTTTACAGACATTTTAGAGTTCAAATTTGAACAAAATCAAATATTAACACAAAGAATAACGATTTTTGTCATTTTGTTGTAATTTGATTCCAAAACAGTCCAATTTTACGTAAGTTTGAGGTTTTCGTTATTTAGTCGGCATCATATTCTTTCACTTCAATAAGTTTTCAAATGATACTGAAAACTAATGAAACATAATAAAATACACAGACCTGGCGTATTCATAGCATTATCGTAAAAGTTCAATAAGATTACTATAATAAGTAGTATAAACTGCCATAAATAATTTGGACAAATCTCGTTTCTTATTCTTTATAAATATTTTCTTTTATTGTATAGTGCCAGCTATATAGAAGTATTAATGATTTTTTTCCATAACACTTGACAGGTTAAAAAAAAATTAGATACAACAGAAATTTTACTTACCTAGAGTTTTTTCGCACAAATAAAACAATCTTTACAAATTAATTGTACTTAGTATTTACAAATTTTACATTGTGTCTTAGTTGATAGGATGGTGTTTTAAATAAAGATATAATTTATAGTGTTATGTTTTTTGTATAACTCAAATTTTTAATAGATTTTTCATTTAAATGATTCATTTCTTTTTTGAGCTTAACAAATAATTACCAATACTACTATTTAAGAAAAGTGCAAGTTGTGGCCTTGTGGGTAGGTACTTCAACATTACATAATATATGTGTATCAATTGCAGTTTTGTAAAGGATATCCACTTTTTAAAAGTATTCAAAAAAATATAAAAATATTTGAGTATAAATACAAATACTTTAAAAAAAAATACTTTCAACTATTTTCAATTTATTTTACCTTATAAATGAATTTAACTGATTTTCATGTTCTACCTTAATTATTTGTATAGCATAAAATTATTATTTTGCAATACAGGTAATTTGACAGAACATTGATACTGAAATCTTTTCTTTGTCGAAGTACCTATAATTTGATTATCAGTTTAGTATAATTCACAGTAAAAAATATATATTCTCAATCTTTATTTTAATTTTAAGTGATCAAAATTAAAATAGAAAATATATGAACTAAAAATAATTAATGAAGTATTTGAAAATCAGTATTAGATTTTAAATACAGATGTCTATTTTAAAATACTTTGTTGGCGTACTTTAATCAAAAGTATTATTTTATAATACGTACATATCGAGTACTTAAAAAATATTTTGATGCTTTCACCCAAATAGTTTTTACTCAAGTACCTACTTAACATCATTAACCCGCTCCAAGCCAATAAGGCCCAAACCCCGTGTAACTAGGCAACCCATCAAACACCACTCCCACAGGGGGTCATAAATCAATCGCAGGTCCAAAGACGTCAAAAGAGACGACAGCAAGACGCGATAGGTGTCGGGACTGATATCCCTTATCAATTTATCGTGTTTAATGAATGCTTACTGTAGTCTGTACTGTACCCATAGACTTAAAGAAATAGACGGAACATTGGGCCCGAGGACTGGGAGGCGTGGTCGTGCCAAACGGATTAAGAGAGATAGCAAGAGTTTTATCATAAGAGTGAGAGAAATGTCTTCTGCTCCGAGTATAGCCAATACCACGGCTTTAGATAGTGCCCGATCACGAGGACAATTGCACGCGTTATCATACCTAATGTTCCGTCTATTTCTATAAGTCTATCTGTCTATGACTACCGTACAGAATAGCCTGTACACTCAACAGCAGTGTTTTTCAAACTTTCACTACACACGGCACACCGTACACTTCAAAAAATGTTCACGGCACGCTGACCTTTTTTTGAGATGAACAATTCAATACAATAAATTTATGAAAAAACCGCGGCACACCTATAGTGGATAACCTAACCTATAGTGGATACTCGCAGCACCCAGTTTGAAAGCCACTGTTCTACAGTCTACACATTACACATACTAGTTAGCAAATTGATCTTACGTGAAAGAGAGAGAGAGCGTGTGAGAGAAGGACATATACACGAAGAGAGTGTGTGTGAGGAGGATTCTTGTCTCCACTCTCTATTGTGTATTACACTGATAATTGTGTGTAATTATAATAATAATTAGTAACTTAGGTAGGTACTAGAGTAGTACAATTAAACATCATAGTGTCGCATAGTTCTTCGTTCTTAAAACACTATCTCGATCTACCAGCGCTTTGTAGAGTGGTAAGTAGATTTGTGGGCATATTAATATATTATAATATTGTATATTGTGTTTGTAGATCCAACGACTATGGGTGGGGCTCTGTGTAGTAGAACTATGTCATGTAATAACTCAAGAGTGGAATACCACAGACAATCGCAGTCGACCGATCAGTTGCTTATGCCCAACAAGTGGAAAGCAAACGATGTTTTATACATACGTGTGAAGTCGAAGAGGGAGAAAATGCAGGAACGAGGGATTGAGAGTACACAGCGAACAGTAGCCATGTTTTCCCCTTGCACGGTATGATACCACAATTTATAGTATGATAGGTATAATAATAGTGATAATTTTTTATTCACCGAGTAAATTCCAATTACAAATATTCTGTGAAGTATAGTGATTGTAGGATGCAAACGTACATTTTTTTTTCTTAACATGATGTAGAGTAAAATACAACATAATATAATATTAAGTAACATTGCCCTATTTAAGTAAATATATTTAAGTAAAACTAGTGGCTTGCTGATTGGCCGACTGCCAACATAGTATTTATAACTTTCAGTCCGTGCTGCAGTCTCACTAACGACAGTGGTACTTAATATTTCATTACAATCATCATTTTTTTGAATGTTTTCTACCCCCCACCAATATTTCTATAGTGCCAATTTTTCTCACCCATAAAAAACATACACCACATGTATAAAATTTGCTGTCCAGTGTAATTTCCCTCCATGCCACTGGAGTCTAACAAGCAATAACTGTAGAACTATTATATTATAGCCTATAAGTTATTTAGTTTTAGTATTATTAATTTGTTTGATCCACTAATAATATGTATCTGTTTCTGAAATTTTTTTTCTACAACCTTTTTTAATTCTTGAATATCTACACATTCTTGTATTTGAATAACCATGATTAAATTTGTAGGTATTACATAATTGAATAGCTGAATTAATGCATTTATATTTTATTTTTATTTTTTTGCCATTCAAATATATTTTTTAATCATTTTAGTTTCGAAATTGTAAGTGTAAAGGAGGGACTTTTAGAGGAGTTAAGCGTGACCATTTTGGATGGAAAAATAGTATTTGTGTCAGATCTGGTTGTAATCATCCACTATGTAAGTATATTGTAGTTAAGAGACCTTAAATGATAATTAATTAAATATCTCAGATAAAATAACACATATGCATTAAACACCTTATCATTTAGTCTAATGACAGAATATAACAATAAAAACTCTGAAATTGGTAAATATTTAAAAACCTATTTTAGCCTTTCATTTTAAATCTGTCAGATGTTAATGATTGCTTTATAAATGACTTAATTTTTATTTTACCCCCAATTATCAAGTAGAACAAAAGCTCATATTATCCTGAAATGTGGGCCTCATTAACATACCTATGCTTTGGAAAGTAAGCACCACTTAGGTGAATCTTTCCATCCAAAATTCAATTCTAAATTTTATTCACCCTATCCAAACATATTTTAATTTATAAACATTTCATTAAATGTACAATGAGGACCATAATAATTAATAATATATCAAATTTAGAAGTACTCATATCATTAGTATACAAAATTGTACCAAAAACAAAGAAAAATATATCACAGAAAAATGCAGCTGTTGCATTCAAACAAAATAACACAATTTGAATTTATTCAAAATTTATCTCTGACATTTTTAACAATATAAAAAATTTAATTTTTTCATTAGGTACCTATATTCATTTATTTATAAACAATAGTAACAACTGAATTCTACATACTATATTTACCCATTAATTATTATATTATATTTTAATCAACTGAATTATACAATATATTGCCTATATTAGTCACATCAACACAATTTTCAAAATAAGTACAACAATACACTTTTAACCATATCTGTAAGATTTATTGTTACAGATAGTCTTAAGCCTGTAAAAATGGGAGGAAGATGTTTGTTTTTAAGTTAGGTGGGACTCAGATAGTATTTAAACATGAACACAATAATATAATGTTTTAAACTTCCAGGGACTCAATTAGTATGTACCTTAAAACAACTTAGGGCACAATGTGTACTTAAATTTTTTACTGGGACTTAGTTCATGTGCAGCCAATAATAAGTCTCAGAATAATTTTACAAACGTAGTTATCAATTTCAAATGCATAACAAAAATACAAAATTAATAATCAGCTGTGTAGGAAATAAGTTATATGCAATAAACATTCATGAGGTACCTATTTTAATAAGATATTACTTAGTTCACTGTAATAGTGTTGTGTGTATAAATATATTTATTATTTAATTAATAATATGTATGTGAAATTTATATTTTGTTTAGCTGATCACATACAGCATTTAAAAAATGTTTCAATGATGGAGTTTACTGTACTAATGAAACTAATATTTGATATCATTAATATCAAAGAAACATTAAAAAATATATCTATAAAGCCCAAGTCGAAGAGAAATATTTTGTTAAAAGACATTTTTGAATCAGTTTATAATGTATGTTATTCATAAATAATACACTTTAAACTAATTTACTAACTATTAACTATGTTTATTTATGTCTTAGGTATTGAATAAAAGTGTCCTTCTTCATCCCTTTACAACACCTAATATTGATACAATTTATGGGTCTCCACCATTTGAAAGGACTAACATAGATCAAGTTTTGATTAATTTTTGTATGCATTTCTTTTATGACGATAATATTTTGGTAAGTCTGGACATCTGATATCAAATAAATTCACTGTTAAATTAAATATAGCTAGTAAAAACAAATCTTTCAGGCCTTTATACAAGAGCTTATGAAATCAAAACGCTCATAAATAAAACAAAGTAGAAACTTTAAAACATTGAAAAATAGCAATATTATATAATTATCACTAAAGAATTAACATATTTTTATTTGTATGCAATGGTTATTCGTGGCCATTAAACTTTTATTTATTATTATTTATTGACTATTAATTTTGTATATATAATGTAGGTAATTTATAGTCTATTGTTTTATTTTTAATGAACCATAAATTGTAATAATTTCGTTAGTAAAAATCGTTTGTATTAATAATTAATTGATATATTAATACTCTTTAATAACAATACCAACCTAAGTACTAACCTAACCTAAGTACTTAACAATTGAAAAAACTGTATAAAAAGATTATATATGTATATTTATAAATCAATATTATGTGAAGCTCCTGGAACAGAAGTCTGTTTAAATGGCATTTTTAAATGATCTAAGTTAAGTCCACGGCTAAACTACAAATTTTCCTTTTTATTTGGCGACAAAAGCATATCAGTGAATTATTTGTCATGTGCTACGATCTGGTGGAATAATCATCTTGATTATTACAAAATGCAAGCATTATGTACCTTCATACAATATTTGAAATAAAAACTTCCGTCAATACTTACAACACGTTGTGATTTGTTTAAATTATATTTATAAAAATTCTGAGTGTGATTGTTTGTAGCAATAAGAAGTACAGCATACTACAGAAAAAAATTAAAAGTAATACCATTGGTGTTTACACATCATTTCCAAAAACTGGTGAACACTGGTATTTTTAAGTTCCAAAGGCATGCTGCAAAATAAAAAAAAACTTCATTACCAAACATAACCGAAATAGATATAAATTTAACAAAAAATGTTCACAAAACTCAATTTATCTGAATAAATCTTGGTACATACCGAAATGACTTCTTGTCCATTTTTATACTATATTCAATAAGAACTAAGAAATCGTACAACTTAATTGTATTAAAATGTCATTGTAAAACACTGACTTTATTGCTTCACTCAGAATACAAATATTTTGTCAATATAAAAGTGAAATATTGGGTAATAAGGTTGTTAATTTTAGAGTTTTATGTTTTACATTCAATTACCTGCAGTTAGATTATTCTAAGTTTGTACTATCAATAAATAATAATAATGTTATCAACAACACAATATCTATTTACAAAATAGGTATTTTAGAAATTATTTTGAAACTAAACCTATTAGTCAACAAAATTACATTACCTATATTATGTTTCAGGAGTTAAAAAATGCATATATACTCACCAAATTTGTACTGAAATATTTTGATACATGGATGTGGACTATTCCAAAAGAACTACTAAAATGTAATTCTCAAGAATACTCGAAAAGTTATAACTACTATTATCGTAGGTAAGTATACACAATACACCGCAAATTGCATGCACATAAAATCATATCAAATACACAGATGAATGGTATATAATGTTTTGTTTGTAGGTTTTTGATGTATTGTTGCTTGCCCAGATGCATCCATTCAATTTCCTTACGATACAGAGCTAGTAAGATTTTTGGTCATGAAGTCTTAAAATATACTCTAAAAGAATTCAAAAGTCAATTGCTATCTTGGTGTCACGTACAAAGTTTAATGTGGACAGAACATACAAAATTATTTTGCTTGGACTATTTGACTATGTAATTTAATTTGAGCACAAAAACTTGAATAACAAAACTTAATATTGTTTTATGTTCTCAGATACATGGATTTATTGGAAAAGGAAGTTTTCAACGATAAGTCACCAATATGGTACATGGATTTAACACTTTCAGAACTAAAAGATAAAATTAGTTTTTTGGAATGTATAAAAATTAGGAAATAATTATTGCCTTGCATTGTTTGATTATATTGATTACAATTTTAAATTAACAGCTAGAATCCAAAAAAAATAAATTGAAAAGAACACAAAAAATGAAGAAAAAAAGTTACAATACTGCCGTCCGAATCTTATCTTTCATTTATTCAGACACTACTACTTTTCTTTTAATATTTTTGATTTTATTGAAACATTGAAGGTCATTTTAATATGATGAGACAATATAAAATAGTTTCTTTAATATATACAACTTATTTTAAAATGCAGTCATTTATTTAATTTTATATTAAATATCATAACTATATAAATGTTGTTAGTTATTTTTGGTTTATTAAAAGAAAAACATAACTAAATACTTACATGAAAACTATCGTATTTAAATGCTTTGATAAAAATGTGAATAGTAAATTGTATTCAAAATTCAAATATTTTAAATACCAGAAAATGGTTGCATATTTTGATTATTTGAGATTTGGAATATTATATAATAAATAATTATGAATATTGATAATGACCAATTAGTTAATGAGCTCTTATTGTTTCAATTTAGATAACATTATCTGATTCTGTGTTATTATTTATTATTATTAAATTTGTTTCTCTCCCTTAGTTTGTACAATGTGTCATTATACAGCCCAACAGCTAAATTATGCAATTGCTAATTTATAATTTACTAGACTTAATCAATCTCAATTGTTGAGCTATAGTAATTTTAAACTTGAAGTTATTTAATAAAAAATTTTTTTTAAAAATATGAGTTCAAAAAAACCGCAACGATTAGGCTTCAATATTAATTAGATTATTATACCCATGACAGTTACAATTAAAATACAATTATATTAAGTGTTAGCGTTTAAGTTGATTTATAGAATGTTAACCTGTAAATCAGTGGCGTATTTGCAGTGACAAATGTAGGTCATTTAGGTGTTGAACTAGGTGTTTAATCAGTCTCCTTTTTTTATGTCTTACATCTTGGAACACGTCTAATGTTAAATTATTATTGGCTTTCAATAAGAATATGATTTCATTATATTATAACACATTCTGCTCCTTAAAAAAAATTGTAAGTACGCTACTGCTATAAATATTTTGTTGTTTGCTATATTTGATATGTTATGTATTCTTCTAAATGTCTAAGTGTACCTGATGATTTTCACTGTGATGCTGATTTAGAAGACTGGAGCAAGATAGATTTATGGTTAAAATTAACCACTTTGACTGGCCTGATTAAAATAAATATTTTCAAAATCCGTTTGCATAAAACATAAAAAATCCTTAATTTTTATTGAGACGGCATTATTTTAATGTCAGTTTATTTCCTACACCCACATAAGACATGCTTCATGGTAATAATCTGTGGTTGTGATTTGTGAATATATCGAACATCTTTCACATATTAACACGGCTACAATAATTTTGCCATACGAAATTTCAAATATTATTCCTTAATACATGCTCCACTCCAGTCCTTAAGGAGACTATCAGCTCACAGAATAAATTTTGGGTTCTAAGTTAACAGTGTGTCTAAATTATATAAAGGTTATTTTGTTACTTTAAGTTTAAGAGGAACGTTAACATTTTGATTGTATAAAGTATAACTATAAAAAAGCAAAATAAGTTTACGTAATTTTCCAGGAACTCCATTTTATAAATTTTGTAAATAAGATTTGTTCGATAGTTTACTGATAAAACATATAATGTTGTTTTGTCCTTGCTAAATCTCTAAATCACATTTTTAATTATCTTTAACCACTAGTATATTTCTAAGTATTTGAAAAAATATTATATCACTACTATTTATAAATCCGGCGATAGAAATAATGGAAGAAATTATCGACCAATTGCCAAATTCTCGATTATTCCTAAGATGTTTGAGGCTATTATATCAAAAAAATTATCGAATTTGCTATCTAATTATATTAGCCACACACAACATGGATTCTTATTAGCTGAGCATTCAATTTTTACTAATTTAATAACTTATCATAATTACTTAATAACCTCATTAAATGAAGGTTACCAAGTCGATTTTATTTTCTGTTTGACTTTAAAAAACATTCCATAAAATAGATAATTTACTATTATACCATAAATTGGAATTATTTGGAATAGGAGGACATTCCCTTAAATAGTTATTCTCTTTTCTTAATAATAGAACTCAAGCCGTTAAAATATTTTTTTTTATTTCTACTGATTATCTTGTGTTATCGGGTGTCCTGCAAGGGTATCTCATTGGGATCTTTAATACTTCAAATCGACTGGCTAAAAGAAAATTTGAAGAGGAAGTGGAGATGTCGACGATGGTGTCATGAAAAGGAGGGCGTTTAAAGCGAATGAGGGCCCCCTAATTGAGTACTCAGAACTGCAGATCCTCAGTGACAGAACCCCAACATGAGTGATGAACCATGAGATAACCTCTAAATATGCAATAACCGGACGTGATGATAAATATATTATTTACCAATGATTGGGAAATATTAGCACGAAAGAGAATATAACAGGACCAGAGATGCAATGCCGAGTCATTGATGAGGAGGATTTTGACACCAACTAGATAAATGTTATGACTTCTTAGAGACCGATCTAAGTCAGAATTGATGCCTAACTCCCGAAACTTGAAGACATTTTTCATACCGCTGGTGATTAAACCATAGCCATCGGATCTATCGCCTCTCATTAGACGATAACCGGGAATATTGATTCACTTGTTAGGAAGAAGCTATGTCTCTCAAAAGAATGCATCTGATACTGAGTGAAGAAAGTATGTGAATTAATTAGTTGATTAGTGAGACTCCTAGTATTCCATTGAAGGATATTCAGTAGAGAATTAGATACTAGGCACGGGAAGCTGAATAAATTAGGAAATTGAATCTAAGATCGGATTGAATAAAATATTGACAAGTGATGACTCAATTAAATTAGAAAGCGAATAAGGAGAAATGTAACTCTGATTATTAGAAATAACATTAGCAATAAGATTCGACTAGGCCTTAGCCACCTCTGATAGGAGACGAGAGGAATCGGAGCTCTCTAGAGGACTACGAAAATAACTAGTTTTTTGAGACCTGGTGTCAGCTAGGAAAGCAATATTAGGAGATGATGGAGAGGAAATCGTGATTGGGAGACTAGGGAAGAAAAGAGACCCCCAACTCACCGTTTGGTCGATGTAATTTTTTTTTCTTTGGGGGTAGTTATTAGTATAATGTTAACCTTTTTTTTTGTATTGTCACTACGGTGCTACAGGGGGGTACTTCGCACCCGACTGGGTCGTCCTTCCCCCTGCATCCTAATAACCTTTACATTCACTGGAGGGCTCTACCCCTCCAACTTTCGCCTTCGTCCGCGAAGGCAACCTACGAGGTCGAACAGAAACCAGGTTTGTTGCCCCCCAAACAACATTCCACAGCATCGGACCAATAACCGATCCTTGAGGAATGCCGCAGCATACCCCTCTACTCTGTGACTCACCAAAAGTCAAAGACGTTTGCTTAAGTAGCTGCGTACTATCTGGTGTAGGTAACTCAGAACTCGCTTTTTATATAGTGCCTAAATTATTCTGTCCCACTTTACCGAGTTAAAGGCATTCACCACATCGAGTGCAATGAGTACGCACAGATCTCTACGATACAGGGGGCCAGTAGACTTGGAATCCACCGTCCCCATGACCTTCCGCATTTGCGTCGATGGTAGATTTCCCCTTGCGGAAGCCGAACTGCAGTTCACTCAATCCACCTCGACTCTTCAAATGTTCTTCAAGTCTCCCCTTAATAATGCGCTCGAAAAACTTTCCAATAGTGTTAACAAGCAAATTTACCAGTATGAGGAAAGTTGGTCCAGTGGTTTATTTCCCTTTAGGCAATAAAACTAGCTTTGCCTTCTTCCATACCGACGGATAGTTGCCCACGTCAAAGCACATATCAAACATCTTGCATAGAATGTCAGGTAGACTGAGCGCAATACCTTTAACTACCAGATCCGTAACCCCAATTGGTCCTGGGGCCTTTTCTGATGAAATTTTCTTTGCTTGATGAATAATCTTGCCTTCTGTTATCTCCGGAAACTCATATCCATCCTCGGCTGGTGGACACTTGATGACAGCATTCTTCGGAAACAGGGTATCCACGATGTTCTCCAGCCAACTGGGCAGGTTTATTCTTGGAATAAGTCTTTGGCCTATAAGTTTTTTAGTTACCAACCCATATGACAGACCCCATGGGTCAACCTGTTTACACAGGTGCTGCCCCTTATTGCTTCTGATAATGGCCTGTTTTAATTCTCTCTTTGCCTCGCTGTATTCAACGTTATCTCTTCCATCTTGGTATTGTTCTCCCCTGAGGCACCCTCGTTTAATGTGTCTACGTAGTGAGTGACATTTCTTCCGCAACTCCTTGATCTCCTTTATCCATCAGTATGTCGCCTTCTTTAGTCCCTTGAAGTCAACCTTAGGCATACTCTGATTGTATGCTTCCTCCACTATACTGGCCAGTCTCTTTGACGCGGTGGTGACACTATTAGCGTCTTCGAATGTGACACACGCCATATATGCTTAAAGTTTTGTCAAGTCAAACGTCCTCCAGCTCCACCTTTTATCCGCTTGGATGTTGATCTGGTTTTCTGTATCCTGTATTGACCTTATACTGTACGTTATATACCTGTGCAAGCTCAAAGATTCTTCCTTGAGAACTGTCCAGTTGCACACCTTGTGTGTACGACATGAATCGACAAACGTCACATCGATATAGGTACCAGAGTTCCCTCGTACAAAAGTTGGAGACCCCCTTGATTGCACGCTATCAGGTCCATTGACGCCATGAGGTCAGCCAGCCGGACTCCTCTTGCGTCCTCTATCCGAATGCCACTTGCTCCCGATTTAGAGTTGAAGTCACCCACTGCTAACACTGAAAGCTCGGATTCTCTGATGCTAGTCTCCAGACTCCCTAGGAATTCCTCGAAGTCGATGAGAGCAACGTTTGGTGATCAGTAGCAGCTATAGAATCTATAGCCGTTTGCTTCTATCCATCGAAATCCTTGCGAGATGGGGCCTATATTGTTGACCTGCAAGCTTCCCAGATCTACTACCGCTGACCG